ATGGAAGCGATGACAAAAATGGGCTTCTTCATTCGAAATCTTCATCAGCAATTAGAGAAACTGCACAGAGAACAGTCAGGTACTTATATGAAAAAATTTATTGTTTATCGGGGTCAAGGGCTCATCAAAGAAGACTTTCAGCACCTAGTCGACACGAAAGGAGGACTGCTTTCGTTCAACAACTTTTTGTCGACTAGTATAAAACAACAGGTCGCCGTGGAATTTGTTCAACGTGCCATGCACAAGAATAAAGACATCGTGGGTGTTCTCTTCATCATGACAATTGATCCAAGTAAAATTTCAGCTTCAACTACATCATTTGCCCTCATCGACGAACACAGTGCTATTCAAAGCGAAAAAGAAATTTTATTCTCAATGCACACTGTTTTTCGTGTCGATGATATCAAACAGGCAGTCAGCAACAGTCGCCTATGGGAAGTACAATTAAGTCTCACAGGCGATAATGATCCACAATTGGCTTCTCTCACCAATCACATACGAGAAGACACCAACGGCACCGGGTGGTATAGAATGGGTGCACTGATGCTGAAAGTGGGTCACTTCAATCAAGCTGAAGAACTTTACAACGAATTACTGAAGAGCTCATCCAGCGATAGTGATAGAGCGGATATCTATCACCAGCTTGGAGTGATGAAATTGCATCAAGGACAATATAAAGAAGCAGTTTCATTTTATGAAAAATCATTTGAAATCAAGCGAAAAACTCTTCCGGAAGATCATTCTTCATTGGCTTCTACCTACAACAATATCGGCCTTGCGTATGACAACATGGGTAACTACTCAAAAGCACTTGAATTTTACGAAAAAGATTTAGAAATAACGAAAAAATCTCTGCCTCCGAATCATCCCTCATTGGCTACTTCCTACAACAACATCGGCATGGCGTATAACAACATGGGTAACTACTCGAAAGCACTTGAATTTTACGACAAATCACTTCAAATAAGAGAAAACGCTCTGCCTCCGAATCATCCCGATTTTGCTCAATCCTACAACAACATCGGCATGGCGTATTACGGCAAAGGTGACTACCCAAAAGCACTTTCATATCTTGAAAAGTCATTTGCCATCCTCAAAGAATCACTTCCGCCAACACATCCTAATATTAAAGCGGCAATGAATAATATTGACATTGTGAAAAAGAAAATGTAATTGTGTTTGTTTTTCTTCTCACTTGGTTAATAAATTGATTTTGATTGCTATTCACCTCACTTCCTGGCTTTTCTCGGCTCATTTTCGCGTACACGCGCGCGTGACCAGGGAGACTCCCTGTAAGCCCAAAATGGGTACACGCAGAGAGGACCATGCCGGACTGGTAGGGCATGATCATAGGTGTGACGTACGTAAACGATGACAGAGACCTACGAACAGACGGCCTTCCCGAGTACTCCACTGCTTTCGCCAACATAGGCACAAGAGATCTCCCTGGGTCAGATTACGAAGCCATCTGACGGGCTGTGATATAAGTTAATACCTCACTCTACTACTACAACAAAGAAAAGCAAAAAATATTTCATCTAGAATAGATTACATGTCTACCTTATCAAAAAAATAACTTGAAAAGTTCTATTGGCCATTAGAACTTTTCAATTTATTTATATTTATTCGCATCTCAATAAGCAAAAAAAAGGCTAAATTTAGTTAGTAACTGTCTTATCTCTCTATTCTCCTTCTATATAAAAAAACTATAGCAACATACCCGATTTGAAATTGAAATATATAAAACATTACGTAAGTTAATAATACATGTTAACATTCAAATTTGGAACATTGTAAATAATGATACGGTACCGTATGATTGTATAAATTTCATTATCATAATTATGTTTCAATAGAATGATTTCATACAAGAAAATCATTCCTTATATATGTTTGAGACATGAACTTTTAGTCAATGACGTTACAGTGTTACTTTTTCTCTTCACCAATTAAAAGATTGATGATCGAAATCGAAAAGAAAACAATTCATTCTCATGAACTCAATAATTGATGAAATGATCATTGTCATCTTTGTTTTCGTCGACGATCAATTCATCATATATGTACTTATTCTCTTTACACTATAGACCAGCACTCAAATACATGATTGACAAATCACTATTTCAAAATACAACGTGATACAATGTCATCATTATTGAAAAACAGTTTTTATTTAAAATATTCTACGTTGAATAAAAATTGATCTACAACATTTAAACAATTTGTTCGTATTCAATCAAAAGTAAGAAAAAAAAAGAATCATTGATGAACTAGATGATTCTAGTTTTTCATGTCTAAACAGGGATAAATAAGAAAATTAAAATGAAAAAAAAAAAGAATAGAAATAATATATTCATAAGACTTTTATATAATAATCGAATAGAACGAAATTATTTTATTTTATTTTTTAGTAAATCATCTAGTAAATTATATTAAAATTAATTTAATTTCTACAATACTAGAGCTTTCAACAGATAATAAAAGTCATCACCATTAAGATTGTGTTGCTATTGAGCTCATCAAATATTCATAGGACTCTTTTGTATCAGCTTCATAGTAACAAAATTATATTGAGTTTACTACAATCGGTTAAATGATTTACTACAAGATAAAATAAAATTGTTTCATTTTATTCTATTATGAAAAAAAAGAATCAAACATATAAATTTGTAATAATCAATACAATGTATTTAAGATTTGAACATATTCGACTTGTAAATCCATTTTTCATTTTTGTCGAAAAAATTCTTCTGTTATGTTATATTGACTTTCAGATGTTGTAAGGCTAATATCAAGTTGATCAAGATTCTTTATTGATTTCACTCAAAGAATATCAAATGAAATTCACACGTAAAGTATAAACAAATCTCATAGGTTTAACTTTATCGTATATTCTCTATTTTTTCTACATAAAAATTTGTTGATAAATTACTAAAAACACCGAATATCTGTTCAATAAGGAAACAATAGATGTGTGAATTGATTAATTCGCTACACTCTAGTTTTTGTTCCGGTAATTTATTCATATTAGTGGTCATTGGGAAAATAACGACTTAGCAAAAAAATGTTGCTGGAAGTTTTCTTTAAATTTGATATGGTTCGGCCAAGAAATGTCTCATTTATTTTTATCTTTCTGTCAATATTCATCATTCTCAATACTATAATACATTACATGTTGTTGGTAAATTAGGTATAGGTATTGTTGTACGTAATGGCTAATTTTATGAAGAGAATATGTTATAAGAAAAAAAAAAAACAAGATCAATATTTCTTTTACTTTCATGTTTTTACTGTATGTATTGTAGGTGGAGTTATTGTTGTACTCGAAAGATTTTGATTCCAAATATCATTTGGATCAGTTATTGGTGCTGATTCAGCACCTATTTTACAAATTTATTTTTATTAATTTATAAATTAATATTTTATATTTACGATAAAAATCAGTTCCACTTGATGATACTTCTAAAATAATAGAAAACGAATAAGAAAATTGAATATTGAAAGTTCAAACTGCTATCGAATGTAATAAAATAACGATGATCAGAAATTCATGAATAATGTACATAAATAATAACTGTATCTTTGGAATAAATAACATTAGGAGACCAACCATAATCATACTTTAATACAACTGTATTATTCATTTGTTGTATCATTAAAATTTATTTATGTTCCATTTCGTTCTGGTCAATTAACAGCAATTCTATTGGTACTCTTTACAAAAACAAAAGAAATATAAGTTTTAATTTAAAATAAATAATACTTTGAATAGAAAATCTAGTTTGATTAGCAAAAATCTAATACACTATAGTTCAGATTGAATATTTGTCGAATCAACAGCTTCAGTACAAAAACCTTAAGGGCCATATTGATTTGCCATTGGAATGTAAAGAAGTGTTATTGTATATATACCTTTTGACAAAAAAAACAAAGAGTAACTAGACAAAAAGCGTATACAAAGTAAAATAATTACCTGTACTTGGATTCATAATAGCACTTTTTGTCATTTCAACTATTAGTTTATTACGTGCTCTTGAAGATAATTTTAATGGAATAAACCAAAATGAATTTAAAGAATTCGTTAAGATCTTCTTTTAAAGTTGTACAAGAAAATTCTTCTAATTTTTTGTTTACTGAATGAAAGACGACAAGAAAAACTTTATCGTGATATTCCAACTGTCTTTCAAGATTCATTGAAACTCGATTGAAAATCTTGACGTCTCTGTAGTCATTATAAATTAATTATTAATCAATCAGAAGATGAAAGTGCTATTAATCTTTTATTACAAACAGCTCTTCTAGATTCTGATCGATAGAACTTTCACAAAATTTATTTATTTTATCGAACACCTCTATATTTCTTTCTTAGTTCCTTTGCACACTATGTACTAGATGATTTGATACAGTTTTTAAGCAATG